CTGATCTGCCTTGCCAGAGAAGAGCGCAATGATGGTGCCAACTTGGGCCAGTGAAGCAACGTCCTCCACAACTAGACTGAAGGACAGCAACTTGTCTGTTCCCCTTCCCCCAATTCCCCAGCGCTGTTCCCATCCCCCAACTCCCCAATAAAAATCTTAAGAAAAAAAATTAATTAAAAAAAAAAAAAAGTTGGGGGAGAAAAGTTCTACTGTTTCTCCGAAAATAAGACCTAACTGGAAAAGAAGGCCTAGCACGATTTTCAGGGTGCTCGTAATATAAGCCCTACCTCAAAATAAGCCCCAGTTAAGATCGTCAGCGGGACATGACTGTATTTGAATAAATGCAGATTTTCATATATGAATAAATGAATAAAATGTGTCTTTTGGAGCAAAAATATAAGACCCAGTCTTATTTTCAGGAAAACTGCGGTTAAAGGAGCTGTGTGACCTTGGGCAGTCTCCTTGAGTGTCAGGCCATAATTTCCTCACCTAAGGAACAGAGCTAAAACTACCTACCTCACACTGTCGTCTGGATTAAAAGCGTAAATCACTGGTCCAGGTGCCCAGTGGCTGTAGGGTTATGGTCATTAGTATGATTATGACAATCCCCAGCTGGTGTCTGGTATATAGAGTGGTTAGTGGCTCTGGGAAAATCGCTTGAGTTCCCTAAGCCTCACAGAGTTTCTCCACCCCCGCAGGGCCAGTCAATTTGCAACTGCTAGGGGAGTGGCTCCCGAATCGCGGGCACAGCAAAGGAGGGGTTTAGTTCCGGCAGAGAGTCGAGACCTATCACTTGCGGACCAATGGTGGAGTAGAGTGAGCTGGAACTAGTAGCAGAACAGCTGTCAAACTACGGCGGGATTTGACCTGGCGAATCCCAGCACTTCGCGCTCGGCGGCTCCGGGCGCGACCGGTGGGGAGAGCCACACAGCTTTCTTCTGTGCCTGCTTTCTCTTTGTAAAGAACACCCTTTAGGCGGAACAGAACATGCTCAAATGACTCAAAGCTGGGGGGTAGTGAAAGAGAGAATGGCGACTTTTGCCCTGCCTCGTGGTACTACTCATATGTTCAAGTTTCTACAATGCACATATTTTGGTGGCCAGGGGAAAAAAAAAGAAACTCAAAACGGAGTCAACTTCTGGCTAGCTCACAGTTATACTTAATGGTTTCTGTACACACAGTATAACAGGAGCTCTTCATTCATTTCTGGTATTTTGCCACTTGCAGGGCAAATGTTTATAAGAAATCAAAAAAAGCAAATACAAGGTAAAATGAAAACTTAACCAAGTTCACCTCTCCACCCTCGTTCCAGTGGAGATTTTCAACCTCCGCAGGGTATTTGATGCCCCAAAAGCTGTAAATGAACTGGTTCTTCAATCATTCTCTGAACTTTCTCTCAGGAATTTTTGCTCAGTTTGCAATTTTTAAAACAATGTGGATACGGGACAGTGGCCTGACAGCAGCCACATTTTCAGTGAGAAATTGCACCAGAGGCCCTCTCGGTCATTTAGTTGAAAGTTTAGAAAGGACTGAGCATCTTACACGAATTATCTTATTTAATCCTGCCATTATACTCCCACAGGTTAGGAACGGTTACAAGTCCCAACTTTAACTCATTTGACGTGTCCAAGTAGCAGCAACTGCATGTCGGGACCACACAAATTTGCCTGAACTCCGGGATCTTGCATCCCCACCCCCAAGGACACAGAGCTAAAAGGCCTCAAACAACTCATTTCCCCTGAAGGAGGGGGAGTTTTGAAAGCATTTTCGTCAATCGACTTGCAAAACCTTTTTATCTCGACCAGCCAACGGGTTCGAAGAACCCTTTTACTAGAGGTGGGGCTATGGATTGCGCGCGGCACATTCATTGGGAAAGCGCCGCCTACTTGGCGAGGGGCGCTTTAAATGCAGGCGCGGGAGCTTGCCGCATTCCCCTGGACTTGAGCGCAACCTCCCCTGTGTGAAGGGCACGCCGCCTCAACACCGCCTCAGCCATGCACTGTAACCGCGTCCCGCTCGCTACCCTTGGGAGCCAGCAGCAGAAGCTGCAGGTCTCGCCCCTGAAGGGGCTCAGCCTAGCGGATAAGGAGAACACGGTGAGCACGCCGGGGCCGGGGCCGGGGCCGGGGCCGGGGCGGGGTGGCGGGTGCCTGTGGGGCTCGGGCATGCCCCTCACCGCCCGTCTCCCCGCAGCCACCCGCCCTCAACGGCGCCCGCGTGCTGGCCAGCAAGGCCGCCCGAAGGATCTTCACGGAGCCGGCGGAGCCCGCGGAGCCCGTGAGTCGGCGGCGTGGGGGCGGGGAAAGCGCAGTAGGAGCGGCCAGCGCCTGGGGGCGCCTGCAGGAGCCGCTGCTCTTGGCGCCAAGCCTTTGTCTTTCTATTCAAACCCTACCCCTTCCGCCCCTTCCGGGCCCCGCGTTCTCCTTTCCCGCCTAAGCTCTTTCGCTTTCCAACGTTTTCCACATGGAATCCGTGTCTAACAGCTGACAAAGACAGTGAACCACATGAAATTGCCGACAACTGAATGTAGTTGGCTGGGGGAAACGGCGATTTCATATGGTTCATGGATGCCTCACCTTTTCATTCCTCTCCCCGACCAGAAAACTAAGGTATCTGCCCTCCGCGCGCAGGATGAGCCACTACTGAGAGAAAACCCCCGCCGCTTTGTCGTCTTTCCTATCGAATACCATGATATTTGGCAGATGTATAAGAAAGCGGAGGCTTCCTTTTGGACAGCTGAGGAGGTAATCGGCCTCAGGAGCGAGGCGACTTTATGAGAAAGTGGAGGCGTTGCCCCCAACGCTGGAGGAAGACCCCCTGCAGTGGCGGTTACAACTCGCTAGAAATATACTTGACTTACCTGTTGTTCATCTTGGGGATGGTGGCCCCCTGAGGCTGTTAGGTGTTCATATGCGCCTCACATAGAGCCAAGGGCACTCGACGTCATGTGGGGTCAGTCACCTTAAAGGGTAAGGATTGCGTGTGAGGTCCTGCAAGCTTGAACTGAATCCCCTGTGAACTTGTCGATTTCAGGTGGATCTCTCCAAGGACCTCCAGCACTGGGAAGCCCTGAAGCCTGAGGAGAGATATTTTATATCCCACGTTCTCGCTTTCTTTGCAGCGAGTGATGGCATCGTCAATGAAAACTTGGTGAGTCGTCCAAAAAAAGCCTTTTATTCACTTCAAGATGGAAGGGAGAACTAATTCTCTTTCCTCGTATACTAGGTTTTTCCATTCCGAATATATCGAGAAGCTAGTTTTTATGTGGCCACTCCTGATATATTGTAGTTCAGTTATTTCTTCCTTGTGGTGTTTTTTTCCCCTGACTAGAGAAGCTCAAAGACAAGGTTAAGCAGTAATAGGTTTACTCCTGGAGCCATCACATTTGCTCTCCTTTTTAATAGTTTGGTTGCATATATGGCTTATGGTGAGTGGATCCTTCTCACAATGAATTAGGAAAGAATCAATAACCAAGTGTTCGCAGAAACTGTATAAAATAGGGGTTATCTATTTCCTGATCTGTACATTAAGCATATGACAGAAAATGCCCACCTTTATCACAAAATAATGAGTTATATAGAAAAACAAATCTTAAAATGGTACAAAAAAGGGAGTGTGATGCAACCAATGTCCATTGATCCAAGTTGCACTGAGTTTTGATATGTTTGCCCACTAGGTGGAGCGGTTTAGCCAAGAAATTCAGATTACAGAAGCCCGCTGCTTCTATGGCTTCCAAATTGCCATGGAAAACATACATTCTGAGATGTATAGTCTCCTCATTGACACTTATATTAAAGATTCCAAGGACAGGTGAGTATTTGGGTGGTATGCCAACATGTTTAGAACTCACTAATTGTTTATTTCAAGTTTTTGGATTCATACAGGGATAGAAAAATGACTCTCAAATGACTAAGTCAAAGAAATTTCCTAGCTAGCACCCATGGTCGAGTCTGTTTTGAGGAAGAAACCTAAATTCACGTTTAGCCAATCACTAAAAACAAAGTTATGATGAGGTTACTCCATTTTTAGAGGTGGAAGTATACTGTCGGTCATCCAATCTCATGTCTTCTTTTGGGAAAACATCCCTTAGGCTCTGTATGATGAACTAAAACTTAGGTCTGACAGTTTTTACTCGTGGCAGACCCTAGTCTACAATGTGAGGCTGGGGCGGGGTGGAGGTTACAAAGTAGAACGTAGCTTGCCTCTCAAAGAGCTAGTAATAAAGTACAGAAAATAAGACCTAGAAGTACAAGTGAGAAATTGCATAGTGTAGTAGCCTCCCCTTATCTGCTGGAAATATGTTCCAAGATCCCGTGGAAGCCTGAAACCATGAATAGTACCAAATTCTGTATATACTAGGTTTTCTTCCTATATGTACACACCTATAATAAAGTTTAATTTATAAATTCGGCACAGAGAGATATTGACAACAATAACGAATAATAAACAGAACAGTTGTAACAATATACTATAATAAAAGTTATATGAATGTGGTCTCTTTCTGATAACAGAGACAGCTATGTGACTAATGGATAACAGGTGGCATATACAGCATGGATACACTAGACAAGGAGATGATTCACGTTCCAAGTGGGACAGCACGAGATTTCATCAGCTACTCAGGATTGCGATTTAAAACTTAAGAAGTTGATTTCTGGAATTTTCCATTTAATTATTTTATTATATACATATGGCATTTGGGAGCCCAGATAATTGGCCTGTTGATATAGACTTAGTGGGAGAGGTGCTGTCTGTTTAGGGTAATGATGGTCAGCATAGCTTAAAACGTTCAAATTTAAGGAAGATAGGGCCTGTGAACCTTGTTGTGACCTGGACTTAAAACAATTAAGCCAAAAAAGGCTCTTGATGTAATAGACTAAGAGTTTTCGTGTTAGTAGGTCTTGGGGCTCAACACAAATTAATGAACGTCTAATTTGTATTAACATAAATAAGTGTTGTGATTTTAAAACTGGTAGTGAAGGAAAAAGCAAACCAGTTAAAAAAAAACACATTTCAGTTTGAGCCCCAATTTGCCCTTGGTCCCAGTGATCTGATCTAGAAGCTTGTGATAAAAGGTCTTTGCTGGAATTGCTGATGTTCTGTGTGCTTCCCAGGGAGTATCTCTTCAACGCCATTGAGACAATGCCTTGTGTCAAGAAGAAGGCAGATTGGGCCTTGCGTTGGATTGGGGACAAAGAGGCTACCTATGGTAAGGGTACCTGTGGCCCTCCTTACACCTAAGCTTCATTTTTCTAAGGGATATTTGTTTCTTGGCCCTTTTTATGACCCCGAACAGTTACTCACTAGAAATATTTTGGTGTTAACTCTTAAATAGGAGAACGTGTTGTGGCTTTTGCCGCAGTGGAAGGAATCTTCTTTTCCGGTTCTTTTGCATCGATATTCTGGCTCAAGAAACGAGGACTGATGCCTGGCCTCACATTTTCCAACGAACTTATTAGCAGAGATGAGGTGAGTCAAGTAATTGGCTAATCTGGACCCCAAACACCAAATTTTAGGTACACTCTCGTGTTCATTGAAGGGAACCCCCGGTATTAGGTTGCCTATATCCACATTTCACATGTGAATTCAACCATATACTTACTTGTCAGGGAATGAAATACTTTAAATAATATACTGAAATTATTTTACTCATTCTTAGTATATTACATTTATATGTAGGTATTTCTCTATGAATGATGGGATTTTTAAAGGGATGTGTTATTTTTCCTGGTATTCTGTCTGATTCTGCTGTACTTGGAAGTTAGTGGATGAGCATCTCGATGAAATGAGAGCCCATTCGGGTCCAGCATGTGTCTTTGAATACACTTGGATTAAGCTGCAGACAGGAGGGGAAGGTGCCCGGGTATTCTAGTTCAGGTCACATAAGCATTACTTGGGGTTTAATGCACGAAGAATTGCAGACTTGAGGGCCGGGCGAGTGGCTCAGTTGGTTAAGAGCTCGCTCAAGAGTGCGAACTCTGAGCAACAGGGTCGCCAGTTTGATTCCCAGCCCGAGCTGAGCTGCCATGCCAACAGGTGGCAGGAAGGCTCAGCTAAAAAAAAAAAAAAAGAATTGCAGACTTGATTCACTTGAAGTTGAATTAATTTCCTGCACGTTAGGTTGTAAAAGTAGCTTAGCATTTTGCCTTTCCTGCTGCAAAAGGAATGAATGCTTTGAGCGGAAGTTCTTTTTGCCACATCACAGAGCAGTGAGGACCACATCTGGCCTGCTGTTAAGCATCTAGGTGGAAGCATTGAGAGTCTTGGGTGTGGCTGAGCCCTTCTCGTGTGACATAAGCAGAATAGGTGGCATTTAAACTGGCCATCCTTTCAACAGTTTTAAGTGCTTTTAGTATGGCCAAGCAGGATGTATAAGGAGAATGCAGAAAAAGATAGCCATTTCCTAGTCCACGTTAATGATGGAAGTCTTGTGGTTTTATAGTGGTCTTAAACCTTTTCTTCCAGGGTTTACACTGTGACTTTGCCTGCCTGATGTTCAAACACCTGATACACAAACCTTCGGAGCAGCAAGTCAAAGAAATAATTGTCAATGCTGTTAGGATAGAACAGGTGGGTGATGTGTTACAGTCTCGTGCTTGCCAGAAGACACCTTCGTGCTTCCATTTTACTGAGAAGTTGTGTTTTGGTCCCTAGGAGTTCCTCACAGAGGCATTGCCGGTGAAGCTCATTGGGATGAATTGCACTTTAATGAAGCAGTACATTGAATTTGTGGCAGACAGACTTATGCTGGAGCTGGGTTTTAGCAAGGTAAGGGATTGTTCATAGCCCTCTGATTCTTTTAAAAACTGGTGTTTTTTGTATTTATGTTTTGCTGTGAACTTTTTCAGATTTTCAGAGTAGAAAACCCATTTGACTTCATGGAGAATATTTCACTGGAAGGGAAGACTAACTTCTTTGAGAAGAGAGTAGGAGAGTATCAGAGAATGGGAGTGATGTCAAGTCCAACAGAGAATTCTTTTACCTTGGATGCTGACTTCTAAATGAACCGAAGGTGTGCTTTTTGCTGATTTTTCTTTATTCCCTTCTCACCAAAAGAAAAATTAGCCACTTAAAAAATGTATCAACCAGCTATACAACGAATTATCCATATGTTCGTTAATAGCATCTGTAAAGCTTTACCTACCTCTGTATTAATCCTGTTTGTTACTAATGCTAGTAGCCTTGCCTAGAAAGAAGGTGCATACAAAAGCTACTCCTAGGAAAGATCTTGTCAGTGTTTGGCTTTTGCAAGCAGGCTGGCTACCCACGACTTGACCATGGCTCTGAACAGGTCTTGGCCTCAGTGCGCCTCTGATCAGCAGGGCTAAGCATTTAGTTATTACCATGAGGTCCTAAGACGTCAGCTTCACTGCTTCAAAGCAGATGTTAAAGTTTACTTTATTTAAAAGTGGCACTTTACACGCAGATAAACATAGTTTGTATTGTCAACGTAAAGGCCTGATTCAGCCTAACTTGGTTTATATACCAAACATAAAATACGAGGTGTGATTAAAAAAATACAGTGAATGTTTAAATTTAAAAAAAATTACAGTGAAAGTAATTTAAAAAAAGTAAAAGTAAAACATTGCCATTAATCTCGCTTCAAATAATCCCCCTTGCTTCGAACACACTTATCCCATTGTTCTTGCCACTCCCTGAAGCAGTTCTGAAAGTCTTCTTTCGTGAATGTTGAGTGTCTTTAGTTGCTCTGTCATGGCTGCCTCAATGTCCTGAATCATTCTGACTTTGGGGAAGACCCAGAAGTCACACGGTGCCAGATACGGTGAATGCGGTGGATGAAGATACACCGTGATGTTTTTATTTGACAGAAATTGCCGTATACCAGAAGCTAAGTGTGACACGGAGCGTTGTCATGATGGAGGATAAAGTAAAGACACGAAAGAGGACTTCCAGAACTGCTTCAGAAAGTGGCAAGAAAGAATGGGATAAGTGTGTTCAAAGTGAGGGGGGGTATTTTGAGGGAGATTAATAATAACAATGTGTCTTTTACTGTAATAAATTTTTTTAATTTAAATGTTCACCATATTTTTCAAAAGATCACACCTTGTATTCTATTCACCACTAATGGGAGACGGCTCAAAATTTATTAGGTGACCAGAATAAGATAAACCTATATAATCTAAGCAGGTTAACTTCTATTCTTTATTTTCTTTAATGAAGTGCCTTTTCATCAACTATAAATTCACTCTTGTGTGCACCTAAGTATTAGCCATTTGGTGCCACGTAGATTGTATTTTGTATTCTGTAGCCCAGGTTGAGTTTCATGGGATAAGAGATACAGGGGAAGGAGTTCTTAACTTAAATCATTAGGAATTGAAGTGTGATCTGGGCTGACTCTTGGTAACCTGGGTGTGTGTGAGGGTCAGTTTATCATTTTATTTCTCAAACTGGATGCTGCCCAAATGCAAGCTATATGAGAGATTCATTCGTAGCTGGGATCTAAGGCATTAGTACTGGAAGTTGATTTTCAAATCACCCTTGAACAAAATGAACCAGCTAAGATTTTGCTCCTATTAAGTGGTAAAACCAGGACTGGAATTGGCTCTCTGAAAATTGTTTGTTCCGATTTCAATTTGTGTGTAAATAGGTACTATGGACTTAGTCCATTTATATTTACTGCCTGGGTTTTAAGTTAGAAAATGTTTTTGGTTTTTTTTACTGTATGTCCTTTTAGATTATATCTGCAGTTCATACTTTGAAATAATTGCCCAGTCTTCTTTTAATTCATAATTGATTGAATGTATATTGCTCCATGCAGTTACTGCTAGTGTTAGTACCTAACTCTGAGTGCCACCTGGTGTTTTAGGACAATAGTTTTGCATGAGCTACTAATACATGTTCCATTCAGATATTTCAAAAGGAAGTGTAAATTAATACATATAATCCCCCTCAATCCTTTGGCCACATTTGTTAACACGGGTTTTGTGTTGGCTGACCACTGGCCTGTTCTGTTGTCAGTTTTCTTCATTTATTGTACAAGTGGTCCAATAGTTCATTTACAAATTTCTGTAATACGCGGCCTTTTTCTATCTTGTTATTGTTAACCAACATTAATCCTGATTCTGTGGTCCTTACACTTGTACAACAAACATGAATAAACACTTTACCTTATGCTGTCAGGGACAGGTGGAGGTTGGAGGCAGGTTTGTTTAGGATTCTGCCTCCCATTAGCTATGTCGTGTAGGAATTCACTTCTTCCAGCTAGGATTCAGTTTCCGGGTCTGCTTAAATGGAAACCGATTTTTGTCTGAAGCATTTCTGAGTCGCTTAAAATTGAGTACTGCACAAGTGTTGAATGATTAAAATAAAATTTCTCTGGATGGGAGTGTTGAGGACAGACGAGGAGGAGATGACATTGTTTCTCCTGGTAGGCTGGGGACTAGCGTCCTGCCCCCTGCCAGGTTTCTCCTGTGAAGGAGAAGGCTCACTCAGGAGGCACGGGTTTTGTCCATCTCTCTATCCTGGCACACAGCCTCCAAGGACCGGGCCCTCAGTGAGTGGCCCCTGAATGACGAAATGAATTTGAGCCAAGTATTTTGAGGTGGATAATGGGTAAAGGTATATTCTGTTTCCTGGAGGAACCTAGTGGAGGGCTTTGCCTTTGCGCCCCAAAGGTGCTCAGTAAATGCCATTTGATGCATCATGTCATGTTGGTGACACCACTGGGGAAGTTCAGGGTAGCCATGTTCTAAGGATCATAAACTATTAGAACAGCCTCCCTGTGGGAAGCCCAGTCATGTTCCCTCTTGCTGTCCGCCTATGCCAGCCACCCACACTCGTTCTAGAGCACACTTCCATGCATCAGAATTAGTGTGGCCAGACCACTGAGTTGCCTCAGGTACCTGATAGATGCAGAGACTCATGGGCCTCATCTTAGACCTACTGAGTCAATCACAAGGAGCCGGCAATTTCAACAAGTTCATCCTAGCTCATCTCAGATATTTGAGATCTGGATGGGATGGACTCATTTCAGACCAGTGGTTTTCAACTCTTGGCATGCATTATAATCGCCCACGGGCTTTTAAAAATACCAGTGCCTGGATCCCACTTTTGGAAGAGGTAGCCCTGCTCAGAGTTTGAACTGGAGGTGCTTTCTGATTTGTGTTCCAGATGCACTGAGCCTGGCCACTGCAGAGGCATGTTTCATTGCATGGGAATATGGCTTCTGCTCACTTGGTGTTGGCCAAACCTGGCTGACCATGAGAGCCGTCCCCTGGCTGGCGTTGCAGCCAGAACTCAATGAGTTTTGTTAAAGCCATCTGGCCAGGGAGCTGTTTCTGTATGTTACTAAGGATCAATATAGCCCTGCCAGTGTTGGTCTGGAGAGCCTGCTAATGGTTTAACTCTTTGTATAGTAAGAGTCCCAGCCCTTATTAGTGAGTAGCTGTCTGGCTTTGAGGCAACAGGACTGCATGGCTTGGCCCTTTTAGACCAGAGAAGACTGATAGGACCCCCACCCCTCACCCCCTGTAGAGGGGGCTACCCTCCTGGTGTACTCTGGGCACTAGAGGAAGAACATGATCAGTGGTGTCCTTGTCATCCTGGGAGGGGCTTCTTCACACCAGGATGTTGTATGACAAGAAGAGTTGAATCCATTGCTGTGTATAAGGTTCAGTAACTTCATGGCTTGGCCATAAAGACTAGAGTGGCTCCTGCACGATGACGGACTGAAGTACTCTAAAGCCCCTCCTGCTACAAACACCTACTAATGAGAAATAACAAAAGATAAATGGGTGATGACTTCCCGAGAAAGGGGAATTCCCAGATGTGGGAATCTGACAGAGACCATGGAAGCCTGAGCTTCCAGCAGCCCTAGGGGTGGTTATTAGTCCCTTAGAAAAAACGGGAGGGTGAAACACCCAACACCCCCTTGGACTTGGAGGGAGGGATTGACCTGCACTAGGGGAAGAATTGGAACCAAAACCTCTGCATGAAGCCAGGACTGCCCCCAGTGAAATGGGGGCCAAGGAATAATCCCGCCAGCATGGGGAGGATAAGGGTGTTCATCTTTCTGGACTCAAAAAACCCCGCAAACCCTAGGCCTGAACCTCACAGATTCGTGGTCTAGGCACTCATGGAAGATGCAGAACTCTGATCCAGCTGCCTGTGGTTCCCATGGCTGGAGCTCACGATCATAAATACAAAACACATTGACTGGGTGTAAAAATCCCAAGAACTCCTGGCAAATAAAGTGAAAGGTAATACACGATCAAAGAGAAAAAAATGAATCAAAACCCAAAGAACGGTCCTATAAAAGGTTTTGAAAAAGAACCAGCTGGGATTTCTTGGACTACAACACAATTACTTCATTAAAAGGACCTATAAAGGAACCTGCTTAGATAAGATTAGATTTAGCTGAGGAGTAAGTGACCTGAAGAGATCTGAAGGCATTGTCCGAAAGTAGATGGGAAAGGACAAGAGATAGGAGTACAAGTCATTTCTAAAGGAAGTTTTAGGAATGGAGATGGTGACATACTGTTCCAGAATTGACATTCCTGTAAAATCCAAGGAACCCAGACGAGACACTGCTCCATCCCATGTCCAGGCAGGACCACCAGGGCAAGGTTCTGGGGCCACTGATCTGGGCAGGTGTGATCTAATAGCTGTTGATGTGAGCAGTGCGAGTTACATGATTTGGCCACAGTAACTTAGGGCTGAGGCCAAATGACGGGTGGAAAGACATGAGGGAGACTGGTTCTAGGCATAAGCTGACGGGTGGGCTAAGCCTTACCTGAATGTGGCCCAACCTGGCCTGAGTTTAAAGGACTAGCCTGAGGCTGCCTGTGACTCAGAAGGCCAGTTTCACTGCACCCCTCTGATTGGGTGACTGGGCAGATTGGGGGAGGGGCTGCTGGCACTCTGGCTTTGGCAAGATGGAATCTGCGTCAGGAGTGGTGGACAGGACCTTAGAAAGGCTTGCACTGGACCCAGAGGCCACTAACTGACCCCTGTTGTGCATGATCAAAAGCCCCCCTGATCACGGCCACTGGGATTCCAGACTCCATGTGACGAGGACCCGGGGGGTCCTAACCCACCCAGAGGCAGGCTTAGGACTTGGGTAGGGTTGAGGGTGGTGTGCTGTTTTCTCCTTGGCCTTGGAGCTTAGGGAATAGTGGGGCTGCAGCAGCCACCTTGCAGCTATAAAGGCAGGCCTGTCTTGAATGGGGTCCGCACTTGAGAAAAGGAGAGCTGATCTACAAAGAAGTGGGGTCCTCATGGCTTCGTTTTCTGGGTCCAGCCATTCCTGAATTCCATACCCCGGAGTTTGCACTTAGGTAGGCCTATAAGTTCCTAATAGAATCAGGTTGACTTCCCTACCACATGCAACAGTTAAACCTGGAGGGAATGCACAGCCCTGAGTTCATCTGATTCAGTCACCCTGGGGACAGAGAATTAGCCCCATTGTACAGGTGGCCAAGAGGCTGGGGTGGTCATGTTCCTTACTGAGGACCTCACGACGTAGACAAACAGTGGCTGCCCAGGACTAGAACTCAGGTGTGCTGACCATGGCCATACCCTTGTCCCTTTGTCACATCACTCATTGAT